GGTGATGCAGCTGAGCCTCCTCCAGGGCGCTGCTGAGAGAGGCGTGGTTACCGACTGAGCTACGGGAGCTTTGGGGTGCTGTGACATATGTCATCGTTTCTGTGACAGATGACACCGCTGTGTCCTCGATTCCGTCGTTTGTGTGGCAGAAGCCATCGTGTCTGCGGCACGCGTCGTCGTTTCAGCGTCACAAGTCATCGATTCCGCGATGTCATCGTTTCTGTGACAGACACGCTGGCCGCCCTGCTTTCCACGGTGGACGGGTTGGACACGCCACTGGAGGTAGACACCAAGATAGCAAATGCCCTGCTGGGTCTCGCCACCGAGGCCTTCGTCGCAGCGTGCTTGCTAGCCGGGACGCCAGCATCTCAGCGCTCCAGGGCGCCAAGGCCGACGCGACGGTGCTGGCCTTGTATGCCACGAACGCCGCGCTCTCCGCCAGCGAGACCACGCTCCAGAGCGCCCTCGACGCAATCCTCGCGGGCCTCGCAGCCCTGCAGCTTTCCGGCAGCGGGGGAGTTGTTAACGCGCCGGCCTGGGCGGGGCTCACGAGTTGGGAGCTCGTTCGCGGAAGCAACGTCGTTCGCAACCATGCATCTGGCGGCTCCTCTCTCGGCTGCGCTGGCCAACGGCGACGACACGCTGAGCATCACGGCCGACTGCTACTCGATAGCGGCAGCGGACGCGGCCCTCGCGCCGGCGCTGCTGGCCTACTACACCTCGGCGCAAGTGGACGCACTGCAGGACGCAAGTGGACGCACTGTTGGCCGACTACCGAACGGCGAGCGCCCAAGACACCCAGACGCAGGCTGCCATTGCGGGCGCGCTGCTGGACGGGCCCGGACCAGGACGTTTTCACAAGCAACCAGATCACCTCGGCGCTTCTGCCGACCAGGACACAGCAACGGCTCCAGCATCCACTGCCCTGCTCGACTGCTACCACACCATCGCGCAGGCGGGCGGCCTCCTAGCCAGCAAGCTCGGAGTCACGGAGGCAGCTTCGGCCCTGGAGATAGCCGTGCGCTTCCCGGACGACGGCGGGGCCGACGAGGTTGTGGCTGCCATTGGGGAGCAGATCCTGGGCCCCACAGACGTCTCCCTGGCGAACTGGACGGTTCGTCCCAGCAGCGGTTGTAGCGTGGTCCTGCCACCAAGCGTCGACGGAACATCGTGCGCACCTACAACCTGACTTTTGGCCGGGAGCTCCTCTTCGCCTGCTGGTATTGCCTTGCCACGGCCTCCAACTTCGTGGTGTACATGTCCGAGGCCGACAACGTCTACGACCCCCTGTACGGCAGCTTCAAGATGTACTTCACCGTGCCCTCAACCGGGATTGCGGAGGCGCACTTCCAGGCGCCGGGCCTGGCCAACCAGACAGCCGGCACGGTAGGCCGGCAACTTGACAGAGGTTGAGGCGGACGACGGCCTCGGCTCTGCTGCTCAAGCACGAGTTCCTCGACGGCGGGGCCGACGACGTCACGCTGGCCACCCTGGGCGAGGTGCTGCAGGAGCCCACCCTGACCACGCTGGGCAACTTCCTGGTGCGCTAGCCAACAGCCAGAGCTCCGTCGCCTCCGCGAGCGGAGGCTTCAAGCTGGAGGGCGACGCCATGACGCTACCTTCGGAACATCGTGCGCACCTGCACCCTGACGCTACTCCTTCGACTGCCGGTACCGGCTGGGCGCGGCCTCCAACCTGGTGAAGCAAAAAAAACGAGGTTTTCAGAAGTTGCAGAAATTCCCTTTTTCCACCCCGCGGAAGCCAATGACAAGACCACGTCCTCCAGTGACAAGTGATGACGTTGGCCGAAAAAGTGCCGATTATGCGTCCTTTTCGGGCCAAAACCGCAGTTTTTTAGGGGACTACAATTTCCTTACTACTCGCTTGCCGTAGGGCGTAGCTCCACCGTCCAGCGCGACCTTGCCCTCGTTGCCGGTGGGACCTGCTCTCCTCTTCGGTCCTCTCTGCCTTTGGAATTGTACTCCTTTGAGCTGGCCCAGTTTCTTAGAATTGGTTTGGTATTAGCTGAGTAGTTTCTGTTTTTTCGGCCTGGAAAAAGTTTGCATCATTTCCATTATTGGGCCTTTGGGGTGGCCATGTACTACCCCCTTGGAAGAACCACTTTTGTGGCGGGGCCGCGGGACGGTGTCACTTTGAGGTACCTTTTTTTTCATTTCTGTTATTTTGTTTTTGGGGTGGCCATGTACTACCCCCTTAGGAAATTTGTCGGCTGGGCACTTCTGCATACAGGATATGGGATGGGTGTGGTTTGCAGAATTTTTCTGGCTTTCTTAGTACTCCTTTTTTTGTGGCGGGGCGCTGGACGGTGACACTATTACATACCCTTTTTTCATTTCTATTATTTGGTTTTGGGGTGGCCATGTACTATACCCGCTTGGAAATTTGTCGGCTGGGCACTTCTGCATAAAGGATATCAGCAGTTTGGAGGATGAGTCTGGTTTGCAGACAGATTCTGGCTTCGTTAGTACTCAGAAGAAAGAAGTGCTGGACACAGATATCGTGGCAGGCGCAGCGCTTTCGCAAGGTCAGGTGCAGATTTCGTGGCCCGCGGGGAGCCGTAAGGCACAAGGCGTCATCAACCTTACACCCGCGACCGTGACACTGAGGCCTTGACCACAGAGAGTACAACGCCTCATTCAGGCCATCCAGACCTGCTTGACAGAAGGCAAACTCTCCCCGGCAGTGCAACTTCGTCGCCGCAAACATGTTCGGAAGGTAGTATGTCACTTCTCTACTGACGAGCACACAGTTCCCATGACGGCCTTTCGAAGCCGATCACGGCAGCACTGTGGTGCCTAACCAATCTCCTGCAACATGGCCAACCGCGTTCGGCCGAGACCCGAGGTGTTGCCCATCACACACAGAGATGCGTTCTGTAAAGATGGAGAACGCACGTGGCGAGGGAAAGACATTGAGGCCGATTCGGACCCGCCACAGGGGATGCCCAGCCTTGCTGTTCATCCCTGGGAGGATACCGTTGGTGTTCAGCGGCACCGTCCTGTTGCAATTCTCCCATGGCACATCCACCGTCTACATTTCGGAAGCCTGGGCAGCTATGATCGCTCCAGTGGTCTTTATTTAGGCCACGGCGTCAATCAGCATACCTCCACCTGCGCAATAGCAAAGCAGCCAAACATGACATTCGAAGAGGCACCACCATCAGCCCATGAATTGCTTGCTGGGCGCACACTGCGAGTCATGACCACTCTATAGCGGTCCAGAACAATTGGCAGGCGCTAGAACCACCCATGGACGCCCTGTACCAATGCACAGCCCGGATCACTAAAGACATTGCATTTGCCCACACAGTGGGCTTTGCTGGAAGACCAAGATCCAACTGAAGTGACCATCTGGCAATACCGTGTCATCACGAGGAATGCCAGACAATCCCCTTTGACCCAATCCAATCTCTCGCACTGGCGCAGGCGAACCATCAAACATCATCTTGGTCTTGGTCTGCTCGGTTCCCTTCGCAAACGACGGGGAGTGGACCTTCGACGGGCAGTATGTCCACACCCCCGTCTACACCGATGCTTCACTTGGTACAAGTTTTTGCATCGTTGTTTCAATTTGGGACATGGGTCAGAACTCAGAACAGCTCGACACCGCTGATGACCCATGCTCAAACACCATGCCAGCGTCAGAACATCTCGACACCGCTGATGACCCATGCTCAAACACCAGCACGCATAATCCGAACCACTCGGGATCGATTCAGTGGAAAAGGAACATGGATTGCGCGTTGCACGCTGCTGGTGGCAGCACCGATTCGGTCAATGCGGTTGTGGTTCTGAAGTTTGACAAAAGGAAACCGAAAAGCCATCGAAGGAATTGCAGCTGTTGAAATTGGAAATCCAAGTTCGCACCCCCCCCCCAAAAAAATATTATCCCCATCGTTCTGGACCCCCCAAAAAAATATTATCCCCATCGTTCTGGTTTTATTGGATCACCAGCTCTTACAGTCTTACAAAGCCCTTCCTGGCGGGAACCAAGTGGGGTGGCCGCTTGGTCTAAGATTCAAAGGTTTGCATAGGATCAATTCAGGAAGATATTGGCTGGGTACGCAAATTCCTGGACATTCTCTTGTACCCAGGCCTTGGAAAGATTGGTCTAAGCTTAGTCGCTCTTTGAGTCTGACCCAAATAATTTTTGCAAAAGACCAACCCAGTAAGATGGTTTCCACTAACCAAACCACTTCCTTGAAGGCAAATGGGGTATATGCCCGCGTTGTTTTTGTGGCTATACAGTGGTTATGGCGTTTCCGGACATTGGACAAGGCCTTCTTTTCGCAGGGGTCACTCATTTTGTTGAACCTCGAACATGGCAGTTTCCTGAAACATCCGGCTGAGTGTTTCCAGGGGCATTTCCATTGAGATATGGAGTGTGTGTTTCCGGAAACAAAACATGGCGTTACAAATTGGGATGACAGGAAAAAGGAGCAATGGGTCGGAATCCAGGTGGAGTCCATTTTGGTCCAGGTGGGGTGGGGGTGTTCAGGGGCAAGGATGCAAGAGGTGGATCACCAAAATGGGTGGTTTCCTTTCGGTTTGTCTTTAAACAGACCCCAGGAAGTTCTATACCAACCTAAAAAACGACGGCGCATTGTGCCCAGGAAGGAGGTGAACTTTCCGATGAGTTGAAGGGCATCAGGACAGCGGAAAAAACGGATGATTGCGGCAAATTTACGTGGGACCTCCTCAAAAGCGTTGTTTTGTTTCAAAGGAAACTCCTTGTGGGGCAGGTTCCATGTTAATCGGCAGGAATGCGATACGAGATTTAAGATGCTAGCAGCTTAAGTCGAGAGCTGCTGCCGTGCTGCTTGTGAGGTTTCTGCAAAGGATGTGTCAAGCACGTGCATTTTTTTCTCGGGGCATGAAATAGAAGAATAATAATAATCACAATAATACTGATGATGAAAATAACAATAATAGTGAGAGTGACACTAATAATGAGAATAATAAACGGGGGGGGGGGCTGAGGCCCATTTTGCATCGCCCTTTGCGACCACCTCTGGCAGTGCGGTGGCCTGGGGCTCGGCTCGGTCGCTGAAAGCCGGAAGGCGCTTGGAGTCGAGATCCGAACTTTCGTTGAGCAACGACTTAGCTTGGCTGGCTTTCACGGGTCAGCAAACAATCTTTTGGAGATGGCCATTTTGAAATTAGCAAATTGGAAGTTTTCAAACAGGAGCCACTTGCGCATTCAAAGCTGCTTTGTTTCTATTTTTAGTTTCTTGCCCTGACTTGCGAATCCCGCGTGTGTGAGCTCGGAGTGTTGCACTGAAGAGTCGGTTTCCCATTCCCTTCACTTAAAGGGCTCCCCTTTTCAAAGCTCAAGCATCTCCCCTGGACGGGCGCGACGGACGCGAGGTTCAGATCACCCAGCCGCCTTGGCATTTGAGGCCCCGCTTCGGGACAGCTGAGCTTAGGGAAATGTTCTGCCAAGTTTACCAGCTATTGGAGCCGTACACCAGTCTTGCTTGGTGATTCGCTGCTTCAACTGAGACCGCAACTACCGCCACACGCGTCGCGCATCACACATCCACACTGGGGGCTTTCTCTTCTGTTTGGTGCTCATTAGGTCCAAATGGGTGTTTCAACAAAGTGTTTTTGGGTTGGTGTTGGTTTTCCATTCACCACCATCCAAAAGGTCTCCAAGTGTTCAATCACTTGACAATGATAGATCATGCAAGTTGGGCCATTTCAATGTAGCTGCTGGGCTTCGCGAGTTTTCGGCTTGCCAAGCGCGTCAGGAACATGGCTTGTTTTGATTGTATGGGTGTACAGGTGGGATTGTTCTAAACCTGAGCTTTTCAGGTCCAATGCGAAGATGAGGCTGCCAACAGGCAGTTTCTTGTTCATATGCAGGAGGTGGTTGTCTTGAATATTTTTGAAAGATCAACTAAGCGGAGGTATGCAAGTTGCGTTTGAGAGAAACAAACAACCTTGTTTTCATTGAGAAGGTATCGTTCACCCTCAAACAATTGTGTTTGGAGGGGGATACCAGGCTTGGGTCGCTTCCAGTCATGGTGCGCGCCTTGCAGCCGAGCTATATTTGCCTGGGTCTTCTGTGCATGCTCGACCTGGTTCGGGAGCTCTGTGTTCGAACTCGTATTCACATTCCAGCATCTACGGAAAGTGTGCAGTCGAGCAGCAATGCCAGTGCCAGCCCTGGGAAACCATCTACTCCGGCAAAGCTGCCGGCAAAGCTGTTCAAGAGCTTCTTCTTCATCCACTGTCCAAAGACAGGGACCTCCTTGCTTCTCGTACTGAGGAACTACATCAGCAGCTGTAGCAAATACCCTTCAACAAGGCAAGGATATACTTGCTTTGGAGAGCTTGGCGGTGGCTTTCCGAAGCGTATGACAGTCGATCGACAAGATCACTTCGCATATTCTCGCGATGAGTTCAATGTTTCCGCTGGGGAAGCCAGCGCCTCCGAATCCTGTGGGGGCGCTTTTCGGAACTGTGACAAGCGGATTTTCCATTGTCAATTCTACGCCTGCCGTGCCATGCAAAACAAAGTGACCATGGTTAGAGATCCATTCAAATGGTTCTCCAGTGTTTTGGATTGGCAGGGGCACTATCTAGGCGTGCAAGGTGTTCGAGGCTGGCTGCCGTTTGAAAGCCAAATGCATTTTGTGAGTGGAGTTGCGGACAATGTCACGCTGGCGCATCGAATTTTGCAAGATGAGTTTTTGTGGTGGGGGCTGACCGATTATTGGGAGACGTCGATTTGTTTGTTTCACAATGAGCTGGTTGGTGGAGAAGTTCAAGACGGGGAGCTTCGCAACAGCCGCTCAAGCAGCGACTCTGTCTTTGATCGGAGATACAGCGCTCAGCTGGACGCCCTGGTGCCCAACCGAACGGAGTACATACTTCGACATTACTCCGCAGACATTGAGTTCTACTTCCAGCTGAATGTTTCCTTTTGGGCACGTGCCCGGGAAACTGGCTGTTTGTGATCATGCCAATAATTTCTCAGCAGGAGGGGGGAAGACAAAGTTGGCGAAGACGATCATGTAGGGTGGCGACGGCCCAATTTGAGCGCCACACAAGCTTTTGATGGGTCAGCAACACTTTAGGTGTCAAGGTGCAGTGAAAGCGTCAACGGCATCTTTAGCCGTGTGGGCTCAGAAGCAAGATTTTGGGATGCCCCGGTTCAGCCAGGTACAGGTTTTGAAGCGTCAAATTAAAGCATCAGGCACACTTTTGGGGCATCAGGCCACAATCCCGGAACGACGCCCAGAATATTTTAGGCCTAGAAGGCCAAAATCGGAGTCAGTCGACATGAAATACCGTGCAATGCCGAAGGCAGAAATTGAAGCTTCTCACTGAAGCATCGAGGGCGATTTGAAAAGCAGATCCACTGTGCCGTGCCTCCGTTTGTAACAGCAAACAACCTCTAGAATTCCTATATTTTCTTGGACTGGACTCCTCGAACATAAACTGCTCGTCACGTGCGGGTGTTGGACCCTGGTGCCACCTTGTGCTGCCTTTTAAAAGCGAGATTTAAACGGACCCCTAATTTTGACCCCCCCCCCCCCCCCCAATTGTGGAAAAACTGATTAACCTAGGCGACACCTGCAACACTTGGACTTGGCCACGCAGCAGCACAGAAAGATCCTTTTCAACTTGCGTTGCTGCACTCTCTCAATTTTAGTGTGTGTCGCGCGGCGCACGGGCAGGGGGAGAGGGGGTTTGGTTGGAATTGGCAGGTTGGGAAGTGGAAGCCTTTTGGCACGTGGCGCAGGTCACGGGGACATGCGACCGATAGAAAAAGGGCCCGGAGGCCCCACACAAGGTGGGACCGAGCAAACGAGAAAGCCCATGGCTCACTGGCCCAGAAGGTCAGGAGCCCACAGGCCGAAATCCGCAATCTTCCCAGCAAGTTGGTATCAACAGCGCACCAAGCGCCACGCAAAGTGGACAACCACCAAAACAGAGTCCAAGCCCGAACGGGAAAAACAGCTCGGAGTACCTTCACCGGAAAGGCGTTCAGAGGAAAGAAGTAAGCCCCGAACAGAGCCAATACCCATCGCAGGGATTGGCGCAAGGCCAGGGAATCCAACACGGGTACGAAGTGTAAGGGGAGCGCCGGGCCCCATGGAGCTGAGGAAAGGAAGACGAATGCCTGGAGGGGGACCAATGACGCCCTGTCAGTTACAGTTACGCTTCAACGGTATTCGATTACGCCTGCCCGTTTGCGCGCACGGACTTCCAAAGACGTTCTAAATTTTGAGTCTGACAACGAGCGTGTCTCAGGAGAAGCCCCTTGCCGATGCAGCGGTGCTTGTCTCTGAGGCGAGTGGTCTGGATGCAAGTTGCACATGTTATGGTTTTGCAGTTTTGCTTTACAAATCAGGACTGGCCTCTTGCGACTTGTTGGAAACATGTCAATGTATGGTTGGCCCCTTTGGGTGTCTTGGAGGTATGCCACATACGTTTTTCGTCGATTGGACAAACGCCATGCCCACAACTTTTCTTTGTGGGCACCAGCGTGAAACACGGTCTTGTCTTGTACCCTACTGAATAGTGAGTTCGCGAATTCTAAATTGGAATCTTGGACTTTCCAATCCAACGTTTAACATGCCAACTTGAGCCATCACTGTATGAAGCGTGCTCACCAGGTCCAAGCAAGGCAAAACCTATGGAACTGAACCTTGCAAACCGACCTTTTCTAACCCGGGAGCTGTGTATGGATACCGGATGCGCAGTTCAATCTGTGGGCAAGTGCGATGCCCTTTGCCAGCCCAAGATATGTTTTTGTAAGTGAACTTCAGGGGTCTGAAATGCGTGCATGGGCCAGAGTGCGGGGAGGGGCAGTCTCGTTGCGACGGAATTGGGGCGTATATTCCAGTATTTCAAGAAGCATGGCGTGGCCAGATACCTGAGGATGAAACAACACAGCAACCCCTCAGAGTCCTTGGAGCCTTGTGGACGATTAGAAGCTGGTTAGATTGATCCAAATGACGAGGGTTGTCCCTCAGTGCTTTTGCTGAGCTTATCCCATTGTGACAGCCGATATGTTCGGCGGAAGCCACACCATTCTCAATTAGCGTAGGACCAGACTTAAGTTGTTCGAAACAATTTCACCCAACTCTGCCGCACCTGACCCGGCGGACCCTGAGTGTCGAGCGTAAATTCACTTTTGTTTGGCGTTGCGAAAGCTGCTTGAACGCAAAAAGTTCGGGGCCTGTGCTCCTTTCGCTCAACTGTTTTTTCTTGTCAGGGTGACGGATGATGTTGTTTGTAACGCCAATTTGTGCATGTCTTAGGTCAGGACCCCAAACAAGCGGTAACCGCCAAGTTTCATTTGACTATGAAAGCAAAAAGAGTGCAAGTGTTGTAGGCTTGGGCTGCGTCGTGGAAGCAGGGCACTTGATAACTTGATGAGCTTGCCTATGTGTTTGTTTGACACGCGCATGCGTAGGTTCAAGAAGTTCAGCTCTGGTCGATGTGGCTAGATCTGCGGGGGTGTCAATTGCGTCTTGTCTTCTGCAGCTTCGGTTTCTTCAGCGAGTTCATCGCGGAGCACTGCAGATGCGTTTCTGGCGGAGCTCCGGGACATGGTCCAGCAGCGGCCCGGCGATGGAGCGACCTCGGTGCGCACTCCGACGTTTTCTGTCTATGTGTTGCTGACGTGGCTGGCGTCGCCGGCAAGCCCCCAGTGGCTGGAGCTATTGCAGAGAGCGTGTGCCCCTTCGGCGGCGCGCAACAAGCGCGAAGCCTGATAGCAGTGAGTGCCTCCGCTCGTTGGCCGAAACAAAAGCCATGCGTGCGAGGCCAGATCGTTATCGATATTTTTGCGAGTTGCATCTTTGACTTGCACCTTGTTTTGCCTGTGGCTCAAGACCGCTTGGCTTTTTTGCGTGCCTGCTGGCTTGACGGCTTACCCTTCAACATCTCCAGCCACGCAGCAGCATTGAACGCACATCCTTGCAGCGGCCCTTGTTGTCTAGAGTGCAGCTTTTCACCAAAAGCCGCGGAAGCCTTAGTTTTGGAGCACAGTTCTGGTGTTCTGCTAACGTCTCGACAGGAGCCAAGCGTCTCGCAGTCAACCTGCATGGGCAGGGAGCTCAGAAGTGACAGCGCAAGCTCCCAGTGGCTGGGGCCATTGCAGAGAGCGCGTGCCCCTCTAGGCAGCGCGCAAAAAGCGGCCGGAAAAAAGAAGAAGAAAAAAAAATGCCATGTGTGCGAGGTCAGATTGTTGCCGTTCTTTCTCTGAGTTGCGTATTTTTGCTCGTGGCTCAATCTTTGCATCTTTGACGTGCACCTTGTTTTGCCTGTGGCTCAAGACCGCTTGGCTGTTTTGCGCGCCCGCTGGCTTGACGGCTTACCCTTCGACATCTCCAGCCACGCAGCAGCATTCAACACACATCCTTGCAGCGGCCCTTGTTGTCTAGAGTGCAGCTTTTCACCAAAAGCTGTGGCAGCCTTAGTTTTGGAGCAGCGAAACGCATGGCACAGATTTGGTGTTCTGCTAACGTCTCGACGGGAGCCAAGCGTCTCGCAGTCAACGTGCATGGGCAGGGAGCTCAGAAGTGACAGCGCAAGCTCCCAGTGGCTGGGGCCATTGCAGAGAGCGCGTGTTTCTTTAGGCAGCGCGCAAAAGCGGCCGAAAAAAGGAGATGCCATGTGTGCGAGGTCAGATTGTTGCTGATCTGTCTTTGAGTTGCATAATTTTGCTCGTTGCTCAATCTTTGCATCTTTGACTTGCACCTTGTTTTTTGCAGCAAACGTCACTGCGTTGCATGGAGTAGAGTGAAGCCGTCGTTATGCATTGCATGGATTGTGCTGTCCTCTGTCAGGCTTGTCGCGTGTTGCCGCGTGATTGAAATACGCATCCTTGCAGCAGCTCTTTTCATGCCACGGTTGTGACTGGTGGAGACGGGCCGAGCCGCTGAGCTTTGCTCCTCATCCTTTTTGCTCTGGGCCGCCTGCGGCGCAGCTGTTCATCTTGCACCTGGCGCACCGCGCTGTGGCTGCTGCCTGTGGCGCTGTGGCTGCACCTCAACGGCCCGCACACACTCCTGATCTTCTACCTGAGCTTCTGACGCATGTGTTTCGGGGGTTCCATTTCGTTTGCTGGCAAGCGCCGCTCCATGTTGACTGCGCGCACCCGGCGTTTCAAAAGCCAAAGCTGCGTGCTTGGAACAAAAGCTGCTATGAAGCGTCGCCGCTCGCTGACTGACAATTTGCGCCGCATGTCTTTTCTCCTACTCGCTTTCGGGATAATCGGTCTAGTTTTGGTAGCACCCTCACAAATTGCATGAATCAGTCCAGCCATGCTTCGACACTGTCCACCAAAGGGCCCCCTAACAAAACTCATCATGTAGTGTTGCTTGGAAAGTGAATCAGCTTGAGACTTCGTGAAACCCAAGTCGATCTCTCAATCCCAATCCAATTTTTCGGATCAACTGAGCTCTGGATTGGATTTCAGCTGGATCGCGTGCCTCGGAAGCCCGCGGTCAGCGAGGCGCTCGCCGTCCCGGATGGATCGAACAGCGCAAGACCGCGAGCTCTTACAACACCACGCCGGAGAGGGTTGGGGGCGTGTTGTGGTGCTTGAAAATTGGGAACCCCCAAAATGTCGTTCCCTGAAGTGTCCGTCAATTTCACTCCACAAAGGGTACGTCAAAAATGGCATCCTTGAGCATGTTTTAACGGGCAAACAGGACACCAATGCATTTTCAGGGGTCCGTCATTTTGAGACATACCGCGAGCTTCATCGCATGGTCTCTGCAGTTCACCTTACTTTACAGCCTTACCCAGTGTGAGATTACACGATATGCTGGGTGCTGCAGGTCAGGTAGGCCCCTCTTCCAGTGGCAAAAGCTGCATGCTTAGACTGCCTAGAGCGGCTAGTCTCTGAGTGCTGGCTGTAGGGTGGCAGCTGGCTTGTGATATGTAGAGGTTGCTGTGTCAAAACAGCCAATTCTGAGGGGCAGGAAAAGAACGGGTCGGTCATGAATTTGATCCCTGTGTTTTTGTGTGGGTGTGAGGTGTGAGTATTTGGCTTCTGCTTTCATTTGTCTTTAATGTCAGCAACCTCAAGATGAGTATGTGCGCGCTTTTCTTGATTGGCTGGGCAGGGAGCCTTCATTCTTTGATGGCCTGAATTCCCTACTCATCCTACTCTATCTACAAACCGACAGGACGCGATTGCTGCTCCTGGGGCGAGGTCACATGTTCTCCATGTGCAGCAGCTCGAAGAGTTCCTGGCGGGCATCGAACTGCCCACAATCAGGATGAAGTACTCCACAATGAGGCGTGTAATAATTAAAACAGTTAGAACTTTAGGGGGTCCCAACCGAAGCCTTCTGCGGGCGGCCTTTGCAAGTTTTGCAATACCTTCCGTGTTGGGGAGACCCTGAATGGCGAATCAGATCCAACCCCGACCTTCCCGCTAAGGGAGGCCTTGGGGGTGTTCCCCGACCATTTTCCTCTTTTCCCCCACACATTGCGCAGACAGGGGTCCTTATATTTTGTTTTTCTCATGTTGTCAGTAACCAGGGGTTTTTCCACACCCAGGGACACTTTGGTCGGAATTCCGTGGATCATTTTGGTGTTGCCTTTTTTGGGCCTTGTTATTTAAGGACTATGTGGACGTTACCCCGGGCTTCGCCCACATGAGCGCTGAACATCGCCTTGTCTGAAGGGGCTTCAGGCCATTTTTGGCCGGTATTTCTTACTTTAGAAAGAAAGGGCTCCCATCCCGTCATTTTTGCAAAGGAGGCTGGTTTTTAAAACTGGGTCACTGGCCACAAGTTATCCCGCAGAACCTCGGAACTCTCCGGCGACACGACAGCAACTTTCTGGTCCCAATTTTTGAGGATACACCTGGCCCTCAACCTTGCGAAGCCGTCGGCGTAACTCAAAAAGGGGCCTGCTTTTGAAGCCTGCTTGGCGGGTCGGCGGTGCTGCAGCCCACAGTGGCTGGCAAGTCTGGCAGTAGCCCAAAAAGTTCGGCCCGGCTGGGCGACCACAAGCGCAAACACAACATGTCTGGTCATGCTGGCCTAGGCTAACAGCTCGAATTCTTTTTCATCAAGTGGCACGCGGCGCATCTGCAACGGGCAGGTTATCTGCCCACAGAGGAGAGTCTACTGGCACAAGAATGCTGTTAGCAGGCAACCACTCGTCTGCGGTTGCATCCCATGTGTTAGTGCTGATTATGAGGGGCACACCGTAAAGCCACACCTCATACGCGTGCTCTTGACATTGGCTTTGCGCCAGCAGGATACTGACTGTGCCTGCCTGAAACAACTGCTTGTTGGCCAAGATGAGCGTATGATCGGCCTCGTCGAACACGATCGCTTTGTGTTTGGATCGAGAGAACGATTTTAAGTTTGGTTGCTTGACGCCCTGACACGATACAACCAGCGTTCTTGCCGCGCCGAAGAGTTGTCGAGCGAATTGTGTCTTTCCATACCGGCTTGCGCCGTGGAGAACAAGGAATGGGAATCTTGTTGCAGAGCCAAAGCCATCTTGGAATAAGCGCAGCCATGTAGATACTGCTGGGATAATTCTGGAAGGCTTCAATAGATGTTGCATGGCAGCTTCCAAGTTTTGGCGGCAAGCAGTTTCTTGCTCTTGCCGCACCCTGTCGGCATTATACTCGATCTCGTTGATCATTTGACGCAAACCGCGCCCTCTGGCTCGAGTTAACTCGCTCTTGGCTGCCTGTTGGGGGTCACAGGCTGCTACAAAAAGAGCGGCCGCAAGTTATGTTTTAGGGCGTGTAGGAAAATGTCCGATTGCCAATCTGGACATTCATTGCAATTCGACGCCCAGCCCAAACATTGAGCGTGTGGCAAAAAACAACCACATGCTAAACCCCGGCAAAACACAACACAGAGTTCCCTGCGCAAGAAAGTCCGATCTCCACCAAGCCTCGTCCGTCAGTTTGTACATGCGCCATAAACCAAAGATCGTGTTCATCTTGACAGGAAAGTCAGTGAAAGCGGCGTAGTTGCATGCCTGGTAAACTCTCCCACGTTTAGGTGCTTGGGTATAATAGTGAGCGCCGTCCAGCGCTCGTATTAAGTGACGCCCGCGCCCATTTGTACCTTTTGGCACTGGCGTCGACCCCTGGAAGGCCCAAGCTGCAAGTCTCCCCAAGCGATGATTCCGGCCAGGATCAGACACTGCCAAGTGAAAGTGAAGCAGGTTAGCAGAGTGCTTCCGTTTCAGACTTATTTCAGCGCAGCACGACCACCGAGGCCAGCCTTGCTGCCCAACAACACTTGTCATTTGCCGCTGGAAATCAATCCAAAGCTGGGCATAGAATGGTGATGACTGCACAAGCCGCACTAAAACAGGCTCCGGTAGATCCCGTGATTGCATAATATGCTGAATATCTGGGTTTTGCCAGCCCCATTTGCCGTTCCATGTAAATAGGAACCCGTGGAGACGTAGATCCGCGGATTGGCCGTCTTCAGGCACGCTCCCACTTCCACACGCAGCCGTCTGCGGGGGCGACTTGCACAGCACGAGGGCAGTCGGAAACAAGTCTTCCTTTGAAGGCACGAGCGGTGCGTCAAATCGTTCGGGAAAAAGGGCATGCGCAAACCAATACGCCTTCTGCGCCGACGTCTGCCGAGTAAAGCAGAAGCGTAGTTTGCTCATAGCATCCCTATAACTGATAGTTTTCAATTGCGGATACTCCTTCAAAACCCTTTGGCACCACTTGTCACGCAGTGAAGCACGCTCACGGGCATTCAGAGCATGAATTGCTCTCTCAACCTTAGTACAAAAAAGGCCTTCGACAAAGTGGCGTAATAAAACCCAGAAAGCATATATATATATATATACACACAGCTTATAAAGACATGCGAAGGCTGGCAAATGCCTCAACACTAGAAAAACTTCTATTCATTCTTTATTATTATTTTCATAAATGCAATAAAAACCACCCCTTGGTTTATAATTGTTCTAAAAAGCTCAATTAAAATTACACTAAAACAAATAATAACCGACATATACACAACCCTTTTCAAACGCAATCAAACCATCAATAACAACAAGTCTATTCCGCTTTCCTCTCATCCTTCCTTCCTTCCTCCCTCTCTCCCTTCCTCCCTTTCTTCTCTTCGCCTCCTTTCCTCCTCCTTCGCTCCTTCCATCTCTCCTTCCATCCTAGCTTCCTTCCGTCCTTCCTTCCTTCCTTCCTTGATTCGTTTCTTCCTCCCTAGCTCTTTCCTCCTTCCCTCCTTTCCTCCTGTCGTCCCCTCCCTTCCTTCTCCCATCCTCCAATCCTCCCTTCCACCCTTCCTCTTCTCCTCCCGTCCTTCCTTCTTTCCTTCCTTCCTTCCTTTCCCTCCTTCCTTCTCCCTCCCTCCCTCCCTCCCTCCTTCCTCCCCTTCCTCCCTTCCTCCCTTCTCCCTTCCTCCCCTCTTCCTCTCCTCCTCCCCTCCTCCCTTCCTCCCTTCCTCCCTTCCTCCCCTCTTCCTCTCCCCCTCCCCTCCTCCCTCCCTCCCTCCCTCCCTCCCTTCCTCCCTTCTTCCCTTTCTCTTCCCTCCCTCTCTCCCTCCCTTCCTCCCTTCCTCCCTTCCTCCCTCCTTCACTTCCTTCTCTCCTTCCTTCCTTTTCCTCCTCCCTTCCTCCCCTGTTCCTCTTCTCCACCTCCTCCCTCCTCGCATTCTCACTTCTTCATAAGTGAACGGTTTTGGGGTTTTGCTGTTTGCCTTTTTGGGTTAACGCGATGGTTCGAAAACCATTCGACTGTTTTATAACATATCTCCAAGAAAAATTCTGGATTTACAAACTGCTTGATATGGGGACACTCCGAAAAGAAACGCTTGTTGGTCAAGCAGCCAATCGATTCGCAACCGTTTCCGTGAAGGCTCAGTCTCAGCACTGTCAAAGAACTGATACAAAGCCAGGTCTAATTCATCTTCTAGATCGCCATGAATGCGTTCGTCCATGGCAGGAGGATCGCTATGAATGCGTTCGTCCGGTCTTTTCCTCTCTTTTGGGGTGGGTTTGTCTTTATAATGTGTCCCCAAAGAATTGGAACTTTCTAAAAGTTCTCCTATAAAACCAATTCTCCTGCCATCAAAGGCATATCAAAAAGAAATCAGCTCCTGCAACATCTTCTGAGGGCACCATGTGGCACAATGATTTTAGCTTTCAGGCCGGTTGGCAAACCAACAGCCTGTCGCACTGCAAAGCTTTGGCAAAGCTACAGCTTGCTCTTGCTGCTCTTTAGCCCCGACATCTTCCTGCGCATGCTTCTGTCAGCTTACGCAAGACCTCAAATAGCTGCCGTGGATGCTTTGTGAGGGCCTGCTGCCTCCGATGGTCAATCAAGCAAGCCACGTTCCTTCTTTGGGCCGGTGTTTTGTATGCTCGTCTTTTTTTTGATGCGCCCCCCCCCCCCAGAATTGGAGGGGTCCGAAAACTCCGTTTATAAGTCAATCAATCCCCAAACAGGCGAAAGAAAAATACAAGGGGTTCGCTTCAAGTGAGCCCTTGGCACTCAGTTCTCACCATCTTCAATAAGCACGGAGTCGCGCAACTATGTTGATGCAGTGGATAACATGCTGCGCTTGCGCGTGTGCCTGCTCATCTAAAGACATTATGTGAGGCTTTGGGCCTGGGATGCTGAAACATATGCGCGGCTTGCTGCGGATTCACAGCTATTGCTTTCGTTTGCAAGCGCCTTAACAAGAACCAACGACGAAGCACGATGCGCGGATTCTCAGCGGATGCATAAAAACTACTTCGGGGTAAGGCCGCGGATTCGAAAAAACACAGGAAAATGAGCGCGGATTCCGATCCGGTATTCGAGAATTATAAAAAAGTAAGAGGGCGCAGCAAAGGCGCGGATTCCAAACAGGCAATCTACGGACACCTTGCATTGTATGGGGGGGGAGGGGGGAAAGGGAGGCCAAAGAGGCTTCGATTCCCAGAATCGCGACGGTCATGGAACGGAACAATTTATAGGATGAACCAAGAGCCAAAACAACGCTCTTCTCTCCTCTTCTTCTCTCTTCTTTTTCTTCTTCTTCACCACCACCAAAAGGTCGGCTCACAAAGGGCGAAGCCCTCAAGCAGAGGCCAAGGTGAGCTGGAAGAAAAACGTATTAAAACTCTTATCCCAGGATGTTTTCATTGCAAATCCAAGCGGCGGTCTTCATAAGAGTGAGGTCCCCCAAAAACATGCCCCTTAAGCGTATGAGGTCTCAGGTGTGTACACCGCTGCAAATTGTTGCTGGCTGCTGCTGCTGGCTGCTGCTGGCTGCTGCTGCTGCTGCTGCTGCTGCTGCTGGCTGCTGCTGCGGCTGCTGCTGCTGCTGGCTGCTGCTGGCTGCTGCTGCGGCTGCTGCTGCTGGCTGCTGGCTGCTGCTGCTGCTGGCTGCTGGCTGCTGCTGGCTGCTGCTGCTGGCTGCTGCGGCTGCTGCTGGCTGCTGCTGCTGCGGCTGCTGCTGCTGGCTGCTGCTGCTGCTGCTGCTGCTGCTGCTGGCTGCTGCTGCAACTCATTGCTGGGATCTGCAGAAACAAAGAAAACGCAAACTACAGAAATGGGCCACTCCTGATCCAAGGCATCTACGACTTGCGCGCGACTTGCGCGAAAATTTAGCAATCTTCCGGATTCTTTCGACCATGCGGATGATGATGATGATGAATCATCACTGCGTCACTTGCGCTTCACTTGCGCTTTACTTGCGCGGCCCCATGTTTGACTTGCGCGGCCGCTCCTGCAACACACTCCTGCCAGGCGTGCGATGGACTACGCGGGAGAACCACCACCAGAGGAACAAATGAGCACACAAAAAGAACACCACCACCAAAAGGTCGGCTCACAAAGGGCGACGCCCTTAAGCAGAGGCCAAGGTGAAGCCGAACGCGCTCCACACTGCGATGCACAAGTTTCGCGAACTTAACCAGGGACGCCCCAAGGCGCGCAGGTGACAAAAACAATCGCGAACTTAACCAGGGAGGACCAGCATTTTGGAGGCGTGCGATGGACGACGCGGGTTCTCCCAGAACCACCACCAGAGGAATAAATGAGCACACAAAAAGAACACCACCACCAAAAGGTCGGCTCACAAAGGGCGACGCCCTTAAGCAGAGGCCAAGGTGAAGCCGAACGCGCTCCACACTGCGATGTACAAGTTTCGCGAACTTAACCAGGGACGCCCCAAGGCGCGCAGGTGACAAAAAAATCGCGAACTTAACCAGGGAGGACCAGCATTTTGGAGGCGTGCGATGGACTACGCGGGAGAACCACCACCAGAGGAACAAATGAGCACACAAAAAGAACACCACCACCAAAAGGTCGGCTCACAAAGGGCGAGGCCCTCAAGCAGGAGTCACATTCAGGTCGAGCACAAGCGCAAGGACACTTGGTAGAAACGCATGCACCGCCGCCCATAAAATCAAGAAACAGCTCTCAATCTGTTAGTCCAAGATCTGCAACTCAAGGACAACCTTCAACCCAAGAGAATGCATTGCAATCTGCACTTGCTTTTGATACGCTGCAAGATGTCAGCGTTTCTCGGACCTCAACTCAACGACAATCTGTGCTCCAAGGATATATTGTCAGGCCACGCAAACCTTCTCAGGAAGCGCAGCCACTGTTTTTTGCAAGGAAGCACATGTTCCGCTTCAAGTGGCCACTTCAAGGTCACAAGAGGCGGCGTTGACTGAAATCAACGGCAAAGACAGGAAGTGCCCGCGGCGATTCTGTCGCGGCACATCAAGGCAAAGCATCCCAAGCAAAAGCGCTCTTCTCCGAGCACATTGCATGAAGCGCATGTTGCCTTCAACTAGCGCCTCTGCGATTTTATATCGCAGTCAGCACCTCAGAAAATGAGATCTGGATTCTACTGCTTCATCGGTTGCCTGCTCATCAGCCACAATAGGTCAGTCATGCCTAACTTGCCTGCACGAGCAAGCAATCGCTTTCGGCGTCGTGCCTGCCGCGCGACTTCATACCCGATGCTTGGCTTACAACAACACATCGACGCACGCACAAAAGAAAAACCAATAACCGCGCGAAAGCTTTTGAGATGGCTAGATTTTATGTTCCCCGAGCCTCGTTTCGCAGCGATTTCGTGCATTGCTTTAAGGCAGTTTTCAACCGGCTTCGCTTGCTACGAAGGCATGACATGGAATCCTCGACCTTCGCCGCGCCCCCGGGAACCTGAGCCATATCGTGGTCACCCGTATCTGCATCTAAGGTGATGCGGTTGCCGTCGCTTT